CCCATGCAGAAAGGTTTCCCAATGACCTGCTTTGTGCTCCTCAGAGCTGCAGACAAAAGTCAAGGTGACCGTGCTGGAGGGAGACATTCTGGATGCCCAGTGCCTGCGGAGAGCCTGCCAGGGCATCTCTGTTGTCATCCATACTGCGGCCATCATTGATGTCTTGGGTGTCATTCCCAGACAGACCATCATGGATATCAATCTGAAAGGTACAGTACCTCAGGAAGATAAGGAGTGAGCGGGAAAATGAAAACAGAAAAATAGGTTTGACATGGGCGGGGGCGAGGGGGAGCGGGACCCTTACTTTGCTGTCCTTGCTCACTTTTTTCAGAGAGCAGAGCCCATAGCTGCTAGTCTCGGTATTTCTTTAAATTTTTATTTTATTTTTAGTTTGTGTTTGCATGCATGTCTGAGCACCATTTGCATGGGTGGGCTGCCCATGAGGTAAGAAAAGAGCATCAGATCCCCTAGAATTGGAGTTACAGAGGTTGTGAGTAGCCATGTGGGTACTAGGAATTGAACTCAGATCCCCTGAAAGAGCAGTCAGTGCTCTTAAGTGATCTGCCATCCTGCTGACCCTTAGTCTCAACAGTTTCTGTGAGGAAAACAGGCTGAGAGGGAAAGGAACATGGTCAAGGCCCCAGAGACAGAAAGAGACTGAAGATTTAAAGTCATACTCCTGTCCTTTCAAATGCCAGAAAAGCAGCTCTCCTCCTCCACGCCAGCACACTGGACTTCAACTCCAAATCTTTCTTTTCCATCTGACCCCCTTACAGGTCAGATTCAGACCTGACTGGTGTTAGATAGCTCAGCTTGCGTTATTTTAGCACTGGGAGAGCCGCCCTGTCCACCTGAAGGAAGGTGTCCCTTGCACAGACTATAGGAAAGCTTCTCCACAGATGTCGGCAAGGAAGAATGACCCAGCACGTCCCTGGCCACTTTGCTTACTTAGGAGCCATTATTTTCCGTGTCTTTAGCACTAGCTTCTCAGGCCACTGTGGATCTCCTCTGGAGGACGTGGGTAATTTCCTGTACTCAGTGGGCCTTTCTACATCATTTAAGTTAAATTTAAGTTTGAGTGAACCAGGAAAGTTTGCATAGGATTTCTCGGAACTGTTCTCACTCTGAGCACCGAGGACCCATCTCTCTTTGACTATCACACTCTCTGCGAAGTCCCCCTGTATGTTCCTTATGCTGATTTTTCATTTAATCACTCCAATACTCCTTTACAAAAGAAAATGATGGATTTAGAATTTCCAGAAACATCTAAAAGAAATCGTTTCCAGTTTAGAATCCAGCTCCATGTCCCTGACATGACACACACATCCCTGTAAGAAGGTGTCAAAAGCCTCAGGTATTCCTCAACCATCTCTCATGTATAACAATTATCTGTTGCATTTCCCAGCAGGAATATGAAGTAGCAGGGATAGTGATTAAGGCATTATTTTACTAAATCATTGTCACAGATGGGGAAAATATTTCACAATGAATGCTACCCACCCCCTCCCAAAATTTAATCATCTAAGTCCAAATTTAATTAAGAAATATATCTAACTTAAGATAATGAAGTGATTTCTCCAGGAAATCAAGTTGCAGAGGGACTTATTAATAAATGGGTGAATGGTAAGAGCCATATTATCTCCTGGCCCAGGACATTCCTTCCTCGAGGGATGAAGTCCTTGCCTCTCCTCCCGGATCTGCAGGTCTGTACTATGTCTATAGTATTCTGCCATTACAGGAATGACCAGCAGTAGGAACACATTCTTTTTCAGTTCCCCAGCAGGCTCGACAGAAAATAATGAAATGTAACAAACAGCAAATTCTCGTTCTTAAAGCTATGTTGCCAAAGTACACCGTAGGAAGCCTTTCTTCTTCGCCAGAATCAAAGTTCGCAGGCAGAGACAGACAGAGCCCTGTAAAGGCTGGAGGGCTAGAAACCATGATGAGCAGGCAGCACATGTCACCCTTTTCCTTTTTTGTTGCTCGTGAGTCCAGGCCCCTGCTGATTCAGGAACAGCAAAGAACGCAGCAGGGAGCTGGGATTAGGGTGGAAAGGAACAGGAATCATGTGGACTCCATGGTTGATTTCCTGACCCTGACAGCGTGTTGTCTGTGCTTAGGAACCCAGAACCTGTTGGAGGCCTGTGTCCAGGCTAGTGTGCCAGCCTTCATCTACACCAGCTCGGTTGATGTTGCAGGGCCCAACTCCTACAAGGAGATCGTCGTGAATGGCCATGAAGAAGAACAACGTGAAAATACGTGGTCTGATCCATACCCATACAGCAAGAAGATGGCTGAGAAGGCCGTGCTGGCAGCCAATGGGTGCATCCTAAAAGATGGTGGCACTTTCCATACTTGTTCCTTAAGGCCTATGTACATCTATGGAGAGAAAAGTCCATTTATTACTATCACAATTATCAGGGCCCTCAAAAATAATGGTACTCTGGATATTTTGAGCAAATTCTCCATAGCCAACCCAGTATATGTAGGCAATGTGGCCTGGGCACACATTCTGGCTGCTAGGGGCCTACAAGACCCCAAGAAGTCACCAAACATCCAAGGACAGTTCTACTACATCTCAGATGACACTCCTCACCAAAGCTATGATGATTTATATTACAATCTGAGCAAGAAATGGGGCTTCCACCTTGATTCCAGCTGGATCCCTCCTCTGCCCCTGCTGTACTGGTTTGGCTTCCTGCTGGAAGTTGTGAGCTTTCTGCTGCATCCAATCTACAACTACCGGCCTCCCTTAAATCGTCACATGATCGCACTGTCAAATAGTGTGTTCACCTTCTCCTACAAGAAAGCTCAGCGAGATCTGGGCTATGAGCCGCCTGTCAGCTGGGAGGAAGCCAGGGAGAAAACTTCAGAGTGGATCGGGTCCCTAGTGGAGCAGCAGAAGGGGACACTGAACACAAAGATTCAGTGATGTGACAATGGCAGGGACATGGCCCTGGGAGCCATCAGGAAATATGTGTCAGGCCCTCCAGAAGGGACAAAGGCACAACCCAGGTCTTGTTGCCTTCTTTGATATAGAGATCAACCTAGTGCCTTTTTCAAGTCTCCAGAAGCTTTGCCAGTCACTGCCCTAGCCCCAGACTTTCTCCCTTTGGCACCTGCCCTGTGGCATGGGAGCTGCTGTGCCTTAGCTGTTGTGACTAAAGGCTTTGACGCTTGCAATTTCCTGTCACCTAGAGCTCAGTATTGGTTTCTTTCCACTCTCAAGTCCTGTGTCACATCCTGCCTTTGAGAAAACCCCATGAAACTCAACTGAAACAGCAATAAATATTGCAATGCCTCGTGTGAAGACAGCGTCTTTCTATTAATTGGGCGTTGTTATGATTTCCCTTCCATAGCCAGGCTTGGCCCATCCAGATCACAAATGGAACCTAGACCTGGCGTTGACTCATGTGGGCACTGACTACATGACATTACCTCAATTCACACTTCCCAGACGGGAAGCAGGTATTCCCATTCCCACGTCATATATGAGGGATCTTCCTCTCCATCCCCTGATGGGATGATGGAACGTTCACTTCACCCGAGAGACTGACGTGAAATGTCTCATCTTCCCACTAAACCTTGCAGCCCATCCTTGCTTTCTATGGGGACAGCATCCCTGAAGAGAGGGGTGACTCTTCTTTGGAAGAGCTCCAACTCTCTTGGCTTCCTTTCTGCCTACATAAACTGACACACAAGGCTCCCCAGAACCTTGAAGGGTACCTTGGAAACTGTGTACTCCTTAATAAATGGCCCTGGAGAGAGAAGGGCAGGAGAGGGAGAGGTCCTCTCAGCCACCACCTCCAATGTCAAGGTCCTGGAAGCTTGTAGAACACACCTGGATATATTTGTGACAGCTATTTTAGTCATTAATTACCCCATATTCTACCTTCAAACTTACACACTAAGGACAACCCTAAGTTCCTGGAAGGTTAATAGGAACAGAACAGATTCAATCAAACATGTGCTCCTTCTCAACCTAGAATCTGAAAGCTATTATCCCAACTCCAGAATTGATTCACTCCTGTCATCTTGCACGTCTCCATCACCCTTCCGCAGGGACTCCTCTGACATTGTGCCTTTGGCTTTACTTCCATTTCTCCCCTTATCCTTTTCCATATTCTCCGAGGAGAGGAAGCCAGTCGGGAAATGACTAGTAACCTAAATATGAACACAACTATTAACTAACGGTTAACCAACAGTTGTCAGCTACTTTAGGTAGAGGTAAATACTCCTGAACATAAGCCTTTGAAACACAAGTAAAATACAAGAAGGGGCAGCAAAGACACAGGAAAATGGAAGCTGCCCCAGCCTGTGAGTCCCCTTCCCTTTTCCCCTGGATTATGCCGTCTGTGGTCATGGAATAAGAGAAGCATAGGGAAGTGCTCCCCCACTGGTTTAAGTGTGGTGTACATATGACTGAAGGAATAGAACTGAGCAGAAGGTGTCCGGGAAAGCTTCAGGAAACAGGTAGGACTTGGAAAGATGAATCAGGTGGATCCATGCAGGGTGGACAGCCTGAGAGATGGTGCAGAGGAGGAATGTGGGGGTGGGAGGGGTAGAGCCAAAATGAGTGAAGACACTGGACACCACTTAAGCAGGGTTTGTTGAGAGATAGTGGATGTCCTGGGTGCCAGTCAGAGTCAGGCACTAAACAAGGGTGGCTTCTGGGAACCTAGCAGAGTGTCCAGTGGATGATCTGTTTAAGAGGTCATTTCCAGGAATGTGGTAGAATATCAAGGGCTTGATTTTGATCTCCAAATACTGGAGTGTGAGCTTTGGGAAGCTCAAGGAAGAGGGTGGTGTGGAATCATCTTTCTCGGAAAGATGGTGATGTGTCTGTTCTTTTCATGTTGCTTTGACCCAAGAATACATTTTACCACATTTTAACCTACTACATGTTTTCAATCGACTGAAGATTCTTTTTAAAAAGTCAATTGGGGGGGCAATGTGAAGTATATAAACTAAGAAAGCCCATCTGTGGGCTGATCACTTACCTCTGGCCTCCAGTTGCATCTCTGTTCCTAATTCACGGTATAGTTTGGAGACAAAACATGAGATCTGGTCTTGGCTGTAGACAGGAAGGCATATAATGCTTGAGAAAGGTCATATCTGGACAAAGACTTAAAAGCCCTTGCCATTGGGCTGCATGATGGTAAATGGGTGGGATTTCACCATTGTAAAAGGAAAAATAATCCAGGTATGCTGTGGGATGGTCTTTCTATATGCTGTGAATATGTGTTGCTCTCATTGGTTGATAAATAAAACTGCTTTGACCCATGGAAAGGCAGGATAGAGCCAGTTGGAAAATCCAAGCAGAGATACAAGAGAAGAAGAGCAGAGCCTGGAAGATGCCAATCATCCACCAAGGAAGCAAGACAGGTAGAAAATGAGGTAACAAGGCACAAACCAGATGACAAAGCATAGATTTAAAAAATAGATTAATTCAAATGAAAGAGCCAACTAATAATAAGCCTGAGACATCAGTCAAGCATTTATAAATAATAGTAAGTCTCTGACTGATTATTCAGGGACTGGGGCAGGAGAGAAACCTCCTATCACACAGTTAGATGTATTGGAGCCTACAAAGGCCCATGTGAGAAGTGTGTGATCCTGAGGCAGCAATGAAAACAAGTCTGAATCTTGCCAGTGGTGGTGCATGTCTTTAATCCTAGCACTTGGGAGGCAGAGACAGGTGGATCTTTGTGAGTTTAAGTCCAGCCTGGTCTACAAGAGCTAGTTCCAGGACAGGCTCCAAAGTCACAGAGAAGCCCTGTCTCAAAAACAAAAACAAACAAAAAGAACGAAAGAAGAAAGAGAGAGAAAAAGAGAGAAATAAAAGAAAACAAGCCTACACAAAGCAGAGATTTCAGCTGCAGAATTGGATGAGAACCCTGCAATGGCATAAGGGACACAGATGTTTGATCAAATTGGCGCTCCAAAGTGTATCAGTTAAATCCATGTAAATCCTTATAAAGCTTAAAAAGTAAATTCAAACACAAAAGAACAGAGCTAGGCAGGGAAACTAAACTGAATGCTGAGAGAAAGGAGGCAGAGTCAGGAGAAGCCCTGGAGCTGTAACCAGAGACAGACACACTGGAAACTTGCAGGTAAGCCACGAGCCTCATGGTAAAATATAAAATAATGGAAATGGGTTAATTTAATATGTAAGAGTTTGCTAGGAATATGCTATAATGATTTGCCAAGCAGTGATTTAATTAATGCAGTTTCTGTGTGATTATTTCAGGAGTCTGGGTGGCCAGGAAATGAACAAGTGGCCTCTAACTACAGATGTTAATATAAAAATGCTAAGAAGAAAGAAAAGGGTCACTATGTAATAATTAAGGTAAAGTTGTAACCTGAAAATCACAGGAGGCCAAGGCACACAGACTTATAAAGCAAAAGCAGTGAGCAGACCTAAATGTCTTCATGGATTTGCTCATTTCTTTGAAGTGTTGCAGTCTGTTGCTAAGTCATCTGTAATTGTATGCAGTACTTCTGTAGTATCATTTATAGTATCTCCTTTGGCATATTCAAGCACAGCACAATTTGGTGGAAAATGTCCTGGTAATAAATAACTCAACTCGTGTGTACAATAAAGCTTGGGACACAACTGCACCGAAACTCCTTGAAAAGTTCATATGACATCCACCATAAGGATGGGTTCCATAGACTGACTACATGTGACATCTTCCATAAAGGTGGGTTCTGTAGATTGAGAAGCTCTTGATCAGGGTCTGGGGGAGAATTTGGTGTGATCTCAGCCACACAGATAGTGCAAAGGTCACCAGGTTATTAACCACAGCCTCTCCCAACCTTCAGGTAGAAAACAGATCATATATCTTTTCCTTTGAAGAGGCAAGCCTGTGTGTTTGACATTCAGAGTCATCCTAGTGCTCATTTGTGAGCACAAGAACCTCCGTGCCTCCCCCAGTTGTGAGCCGCCATGTGTATTCTGGGGATCTAACCTGGGTCCTACACCAGAGCAATAAGTGCTCTTAACTGCTGAGTCATTACTCCAGCAATTTTAATGTACTGGGACAATAACTTAGGTAACCCTAAAGTCAAAGAGATGAAAGCCGTGCTGAAACAGAATGTCTGGCTCTCATTCTGCTTCCAGTTGCCTCGTGGAGCCAAATGGGAAGAAACTCTTAATCAAAAACAATTTCTAAGTATCTGTTAATACAAGGTAAATCTTTTACAACTAGCTTAGTTAATGATGTCAAGAAAACTGGAAAAATTACTTTGAGTGAGCTAACCCATACCCAGAAAGACAAATGCTACATGTGTAGGGTTCAGAACTAAATCTTTAGATTTGTGTGTTTAACTTGGAGTAACACTTTTGGCCACTGAAAGAGAGGAAGAAAGAGAGTAAGTATGTAGGATATGGGTCATAGAACACAGGTAATATGAAAGGGAAAGGATATAATGAAGAGGAAGAGTTAAGTGAGAAGGGGATTAGGAGGGTAGAACAGAAGATCTTGGGAAGAAATAATTAATACTAAGATACTTGAAAAAGTCATATGGAAACCTGCTAATTTGTGTATATACAAGTTTGTTGCTCTACTCAGGATAATGCTGTTCCTCTCAGGAAACACAGATTGCCAAATTATGCTATTGCTCCTGGTTGCCCATCAGAACTTATGGTAAGACCTTATTGCTGTATACACCATACCCTTCAGTCATAGGATACGGAAAAATTAAGCTGGCACTATCCAGAAAGCTTCCTGCCTGCTGGCTAGCTTTCATAAGGTGTCATGAAGTCTACAGGGAGAAAGAAAGCATTGCCATTCCTGTACAACTGTGAATGCTGTTAGCTACAATAATAACCAACCTGGAAACATATGTATGCCTTTGATGCAAAGCTGGTGCAAATGGTATGGGAGTAGCCAACAACATTCTTGTTAGATATAAGGACCACACCCAAGCAAAACTGCATACCTTGTCCTGCAGATCTGATGAAGAATCCATGGTTGTAACATGAGGGGGCCTGCTTGTTGGGGTTTCTGTCCTGCCCGGTACCCCAACAAGCCAGCAAGCCCCAAAGAAAATCACACAGAGAGCTCCATAAGTTATAAAATTGATTGGCCTATTAGCTCAGTCTTCTAATTTGCTCTTGTAGCTTATATTAACCCATTATTCTTGTCTATGTTAGCCACATGGCTCCATACCTTTCACAGCCAGGCAGATTACATCCTGCCTCTTCAGTGGTCTGCACAGGAGTGGGGGGAATGGGCTTCCTTCTTCCCAGAGTACTCCTGTTCTCATCACCCCGCCTCTCTACTTCCTGTCTGGTTGGCTCGCCTATACTTCCTGCCTGGCCAATCAGCATTTATTTCAAACATGATTGACAGAATACAGACAATTCTCCTGCACCACGTGGTTCTGGAGCTCATAGGATTGGGGAGAAGCTGCTACTATTACTTTGCTAGATAGACATAGTATTAAACTGTTCTCTAAATACATATCTCTGTACTCAAGGACGAGTGCAGCCCTTAGTCCTCATCAGAGAAGTTTTGCTGTGCAGTGGACAGCAAAACAGAAATTCCCAACTGGTCAAAGTACAGAAAACAGGTACTCAGCTCTAAGTGGGACATCTATGTCACATGCTATCTTAGAGTTTCTGTTGCTGTGATCAAACACCATGACCAAAAGCAAGGTGGGGAGGAAAGGATTTACTTGACTTGTACTTCCAAACCGTTACTCATCATAAAAGGAAGCCAGGACAGAAAGTCTTAACAGGGAAGGAACACAGAAGCAGAAGCTGATGCAGAAGCCATCTTCCGAAACCTCAGAGAACACTAGGGAAGAGGCCACAGAAAGAATATAAGAGTCAAGGTCAGTAAGAAACCAAGCCAAACTTTTTCCTGGACGTGACAGGGCTATTGTACTTATGATGTCATATCAGCTGTGCTTGCTTCTACAAACCTACACGAGATTAAGTCAGTTAACAATCACATCTTGGAATGGGGAAGGGCTCAGTGCCCTCACCTCTAGCTGAGAAGCTTTTGCCAGCTGATGACTACTAGGAAAGACAAAGTCAGCTTTCTTTGGGGATGTGCTCCCAGTAGCTTGACTGAACTTCGGTGGGTGGCATACCACCCATAATTATATGGGCAGTACAAATTGGGTGGGTAGGGTTTTTTCTAAGAATATGATATTGGAAAGGGGTGGGGAATAGGGAGTTAGAGCCTGAAGAAGTTGGGTAGAAGAGTGGGGATGAACATGATCAAAATACATTGCATACATGCATACAGTCCCCAAATGATTTATTTAAAATAGTCTGTTTTTCAAAGAACGATTGAGAGAGTCCAAAACTATTGACATAGTTTCCTGTATTTTTCAGTATTGATTATTTAGGATACAGTGTACATGTGTTCCGTTTTTCCACTACAGATTCCTGAGTGTCATTTGAAACGAAATTTAATTAGGAAGGAAAGTTGGGAGCACTTGGAATCCTGCATCTGGCACAGCTGGAAAAGCTGGGAGCCCCAAAAGCAGGAGTGACAAGACCGAACTGGCAGCCAGAAAGAAGCATGCAGCTTTCCTGGCAGGAGGGAGCCCCTGCTCACTCACTTAACCCCAGCTGCCCAGCCAGGCAGCTACACATTCTCTCAACTGCCAGAATGGAATTCAGGGCAAGATGTTTTCCTCCTCAATTCTAGATGATATTTAGGGCATAAGGTCATGGTGGTTTTCTGGTGTTTTCCTCCCCCCATATCTCTTTCTATTCAACTGGTCATAGCAAGGACATGTTATATAAACACAGATGTTAGGACTGCAAAGTTTTTTTTTTATTTTTTGCAACAGGGAACAGACATTCTGCAGGCGTGGTAGGATGCCCACCACATCACAAGGAGCACACCTGCTGGACTTTACAAGGGAGTTATCCAAACCAACCCGGTGCTGTCTATGTTGGCTATTTTGCTTAGAAACCTAGCTATAGCCAAATTTTTTTCTTCACATTAACAGATAAAAGAGTTAAGCCTAAATCTCTATTCCAAATTGTGTGATTAAATTACTCTAAGATCAAATTTAAATAATCTCCTTCTGAAAAGAACTCTCCTGATTTTTTTTAAAAAAAGTAGATATTCAAGGTGGTGATAAAACAAGAGAGATTTGTCTCTCTGTTGACTTCTTCCCCACTTGCAATATTACATTCTCTTAAATGTGTAGACATTCCTGAAATATTCATTGGCACAGAAGACAAGAATAAGGATTTAAAGGATTTTAATAGTCTCTGTCTCACATTTTCTTTGTCCTACAAGATTAGTATACTCGAACTTTCAAATGAATTAAAAACTCAAGATTTTAGAAACAGTGAACTATCCACATGGCTCTGTGGGGTTAGATGATATATCTTCTTATGCATTTGAAATTGTCAAATCAGAACATTTAGCTCATAACCCAAATACTGGAATGATTACAGTCATAATCTAACATTCTACCTGGTGTGTAATGAACATCTGTCACAGGTTCCAAGCCCTACAGGAGAGCCCTACGGCTTGCTGGTCCACAAGCCTGATGTAGTCAGAGAGTTAAAGAAAAATCAGAGATCCTATTTCATAAACAGGATGGACAACATTTGGGGTATACCAGAGGCTAAACTGCATAAGCCTATACCCATGCAAGCACATTCACATACAATACACAAGCACATGCACACACAAGTGTAGTCACATGAACACAAACATATTAAGGATTTCTTCTAAATTTTGAAAGGACAGAAAGGACCCATCAAGTAAGAAAAAGAGAAACTGGGATCACCGTTTGCGGTTGGTGTGTTTGCCCAGGCTCTGGCCCTGCCTCTCCATCTGAGGTTGTCCTTCCTCCTGAGGCTTCATCACAGCCTTAGTTCCCCAATTGAGGTTGGAGGGCCACCCAGGCTCTGGCCTGAGCTCTTCTTCACCATTTGAGGTTGGAAACCTTACTCATGCTCTGAACCTTATCCCAAGTTTCCCTGCCAGCCCAGGAAGTTAGATGGTAACCCCATAGTCAGTCTCCCCCAAACTCTTGTCCCTCACAGTTCTTCCTTATTTGCAATACACACATGGTCAATGTAGTAGGCCACCTAGGTTCCCGTGGTTCACAGCTTTGTTTTGTTTGTTTCGTTTTTGTCCACATGCTATAGTCTATAAGTTTTCTCTTCCAAAGAACACAGACTACTTTACACTGTAGAACCTTGGCGTGTCGACCTCCTTAGTTAGAGATAAGCTTGCTCAACATTGTTTTAGTACATATAAGTACCTCCTTCTCTTTAGTCTACTTCTAAGCAGAACTTCTGTATCTCACCCCTTCCCTTTACTTTTGTGTCTGCCATTCCTTCCTGTGCACAGTCCCCTTCTTTACCTCCAGTAGAGCAGCCTAATACCAACCACTAACACTAATAATATTGAGAGATTATTTCTCTCACAATAATCCATATACACCATACGACGGGACTGTCTTCTATTTCCTATTTCCTATAGCATTTTATATTATAGAATGACTGTGTTGTCAACTCACACTCTGTGGTGTGTTTATTGCTGGACCGTGACTATAGTTGCAGACAGTACTCAACTTCAGTAGGTGTCTGGGGATACAACCTGGTGCCATGAACAACAGACTAACAGAAGAAAGTGTCACCTCAAGCCCACCACAGCCTAGTTTTTTCTGAACACTTTTCCATTAAAAGCAGAAACTGAATTGAAAAACAACAAAAATTTTATCAACAATCTGATCCCAGATAGGCAGGTCCCAAGGTCTTAAAAGCACGTGAAAAACCAAGACAACTTGTTGAATTATGGCTATGATACTGTGTAGATATGAAAAATAGTAAGCATGCTGTCTTTGAGGCCCCTGGATGTTGTAAGGAGGCTGCTTGTTTGTCTCCTGACTGCTCAGCCCTGAAATAATAAAGTTTTGGCATTTGTCCCCAGCAGGGCTACATGGCTTCTCTCTCCTTTGCCTCCTTTCTCCCAGCATTCAGTTTAGTTTTCCCCATCTAGCTAAATTCTGACCTGCTATAGGTCCAAAGCAGTCCTTTATTAACCAATGGTATTCACAGCATACAGAGGGGAATCCCACATCACCTAGAGAAAACTGGTGCTGGCTAGTCCTATAGTGTACTATAAATGTAACTTTTATGTACTATCTTATATATTAATTTATTAGTCTGCATCTCTGATGGAAGCTGAAAACTTGATGCCTATAGCAATGAATTCATTACATATTGATCTCCATGAGTTCCATGGAATCCAAAGATAAGAGACAAGCATTTATGATAGCCTGTTCTGGGTGACTCTGGGTGACTAACATCTTAATTGGTATTTGGACATGCTTGACCCCCATGATGAGCAGAGGCCTCATAGCAAATCAGAAGTAAGTACCAAGCTCCCAAGCTAGAAGGAACCCCAGCAGTTCTTCTGGGATATGCACCCTAGGTTTGACTACTTGAACCTTAAACCACACTACATCCTTGTTATTGGGGGCTTCCCAAATCATTGCTGGCCCGTAATTGACCATGTGAGGAGAAATATTAAGTAGTACACATGGCTGAACAGAAACACTCCCCTAGCTTTAATTATTTATCCATTCACAAATATTATGACCTGAAACGCCGTCTTCTCCTGGAATTCCTAAAATTAATTGACTAATGTAGCTTCGTCTTTTTGACTCCTTATGCTATAAGTATTATTATTGGTGTTTATTATTTCAAATATGTAATTGATGTATTTGCAGGAGTTGTTGCCTAACTTCATTTATTTTTCCCTCTAGATGTCTGTGTAAGATATGTTGGTTAATTAAGAGTAAGGCCGATGGTCAAAATGTAGTCACTTTGCTTTATTTTGGGAGCTTATCTCTACATTTCTACCTGTAGATCACCAGCATCAAGGTATTGACTGTGAAACTGCTTCAGAGCTGAGCATGGGTCTTGGTGGTCATAGCTGCTGTTGCTGATCTACAAGAAAGCTGTAGGGCTCTCAGACCTAGAAGGCACGGGGTTATTTTAGAGAAGAGAGGAATGAAAATCTCAAGAGCCCAAAGCCTTAGCCTGTAGTAACCTTCGGAATTCAAGACCATCTCAGCGGTGTGAAACAAGCTTCACTGTTGATAGTAATGACTGATATCCCAAATATAGTAGCTTAATATTTCACTATATAGAATGTTCCAATTATATCAGAAGATTAAGCAAACAAGAGGTCAAGACATAAAAACACAAAGCCAAGTGTGCT